CCCTAACAAGCACACAAGCCCTATAACAAATCAAAATAAATAATTAAAATCTTTCTCGAGGGGTGGGGACTAGGAGACAGGCTTGCCATACTGAAGAGCAAGTTTGGCCTCAGTGCCAGACTCAGTCTCAGTGCAACTGAGGCGGGGGGCGTCTCCAGAGACTCCAAGGCTATCTCTGGTCTTTACAGTGTTTTGAATTTCTGCTAGAGGGTGCCTATGCTTTGCAGAGACAGATAGAAAGGGAAAAATGAGAAAACTCCTTTGTTTTGGGATTTTGGGCATCTACATATATGCACTTGGCTTTTTTTTTTTTTTTTTTTCCTATAGGGCACGTGTGCTCTCCAGAGAGACAGAAAACGAAAAATCACCCCCCAGGGGGGATGGCCACTCCGCAATCCCTTCTCCTCCATTCTCCCCTCGAGATATTGGGCACGCATGTACACATGCCCGGCGTGAGTTTAAGCCACTGGGTCCGATTCGAACCATGGTCGACTACGTGGGAGTCCAGCAACAGCCATTACGTTAACTGCTGGTCCTGCATGTTTTTCAAACTGCCAGGACCAGGGCTTCAACCATGCAGCTGGCCATGTAGGATCTGCCTGCCTTAACCACTGGTACAGCAGAGCTGGCCAAGGGTGGAGTATCATTTCAGTCCCCCAGAAGTAGGAACCTGTAGGATGGTGCGGATGTCTCAGTGGAGACATTGATTTTGCCATCCAAACTGAGCCAGAGGCATGTTGTGGGGTGAAAGTTCCCAGTGGATTGACCACAGCTCCCCAAGGGTGGGCAGCTCTAAGCCTGGTTCAGGGTTTCTACCTCCTCTGACCCACTTCAGTAGCCAGCCCTACCAGCTCTGCACAGTTTGGAACCGCATCCACAGTGGGAGTTAAGACGTGAGGAATTCCTACAGCTCCAGACCTCCAAGCTGTCAGGCAACACCTCCCCCTCCCCAGCTCCTGGGAGCGGGTTGTACAAGCTGTCTTCAAATGCTTCTGCCACCTACCAAGACACCCCATATGTACAACTTAAATAGCAGTCTTAAGGCAAGGCACTCCCTTCCCGCCCCAGTACTGCAGTCCCCAAACCCCACCTAGACAGTCATTCTGGAGCTGGCAGCATTTTGCAACTCGTGTTTCCCAACCTGTAGAGGCCGCACCCAAGTGTCCAGGGCAGCCAATGCCAGTGAGCCCCAGCGGGCTGGAGCCTGCTCGGAATTAACGGGCCTATGCCGGGAGAAAGGACCCGTGTCAGGGCCCCTCCCCATGGAGGCACCTGCCTCCAGAGCTGCGCGACCCATTGCCAGTCCCTGGCGCTGGAATGCAGCCAAACTGCCGGTCCCCTCTCTCCTTTCCGAAATAAACCCTTCGGCTTGAGTTCGGGACCCCCGAGCCCACGGTGGGGCGGAGGGGCGGCCCTGACTAGGGAGGAGGCGGAAAAGGGAGGGAATAAACACTGGAAAACACGCAGAGGGCGGGGGAGCCCCTGGTGGCTCCGGAGGGCGCGGAGCACAGATTGCTGACTATGCGGGTCTCTTCTGGAAAGAGTCTCGGCGGGAGGGGGGCCCGCGTCCTGCGAAGCGCCGTGGACTGGGGCCCCCACCTCGTCCCTCCCCAGCCCTGCACCCACCCCCCTTCCTGCCCCTCACCTGAAACCACCAGCGCCTCGTTGGGCCCCACC